GTCAGCGTCAGTAGCCCCAGTCTTACGAATACCGCTGAACCAAGAATAAATCATAATTGAGATTTATTTGTGGGCCAAGTACCCTCGAAACAAAACCTGAGAGCAGAAGCAGCTGGAAAACAAAGAAACCCTAAACCACGTGGGGGCTCCCTTTGCGGCGAGCTCTCTTGCCTTAAATTCTCCTGAGATGAACAGAAATTTGGAGGGTTAAGCTGAGGCCCTGTTAGAGTGTAGTCGATCCCTAAATAATGCAAACGACGACCATTTCTGTCCCCCAAATGCCCCCGGCTCTCTGGAGCTGCCCCTAATACCCTATAGGAATTGCCTCCTTCACTCCACACGCCTAGAAAGCAAAACGAACGTCAGAGCAGTGCGCTCGTGAACAAGGCTCCTAAACCCGACGTAGGCCGGCATCGTCAGCATCACCGCCGAGTGCAGACCCCACACCGCCCTGCTGACCCTTGGGTGGCTGTGGCAAGCGCTCCAGGAAACAGTCTGTGTGTCGAAGGGCGAGGCCAGGTTATCCGTCACCTGGGGAGCGAACCGCCCCACACTCCACTGTCACTGCGTCCCTGTAAGTGACGTGTTATAAACTGCAACACGCTCTGTGCTGGCTTCTCCCACCGGGAGGACGGTGAGGGTCCAAGAGGCCTCACCACGGCACGAGGGACACACTGGAGGAGCAGCAGGTCGGCGGCCTGCATGGAGCGTGGACCCAGCCGCGGGCAGGATGAGCGGCGTCCGCACCCCCTGGGAAGGGTCCGGCCGGCCCCCCGCTGTGGTGGTGGGATGGGCCCTCCGGTGAGCCCACCAACCTCCCACCTCCTGCGTAATCAGCGGGAGTAAGTGTCTGCTCCCTGACGCGAGGCCTCTTGTAGTTAAGGGCGTGGACTTCTCCGTGTTTTGCTCTCCGGTCCTTTTCTGTTTGGCGCGCCCTCCCGGGGTGGGCTGCAAACTCAAACCCAGGTGTGCAGGGGCGACAGGCCAGACGCCTCACCGTGCCACAGCTGCCGTGTCTGAGCAGTGACACTGCAGAGGCCGGGGTTCCACGGTGCCCCCGTTCCTTAGGAGACACGGTGAAACCCAAAAAGACGCACACTGAATCAAGCGACTCTACGCTCACCCTAATCAAAGCGAAGCAGGAGTGGAAGGGAACCGGGTCGAGCAGCTGCACCGCCGTAAGGTGCTGCCGCGCCACAGGTTAAGCAGCCAGAGGCGCCTGAAGTCCGTGGGCAGGTGACGTGCAGGCCTGGGTCGGTGCACACGCATCCTGGCACGGGCAGCCTTGCTGCCCCATCCCCTCCCCCTCCCGCCCGAGACGGGCCGCGTGCGGGGCTGTGCTCCCAACACACTGGGCCCAGGGTGCTGTACCAGCAACATTCTCTGGAACCTTCCTGCCCCAGAACTTGTGGGCATTTTGACATTGACCTTGTTGGACAAATTAATTTTCAAAAACTTCACCACTTAGAGCATAAAGTGGGGACAGCAAAGCATCAGACTACTGGCTTGTTACCCAGGCTTTACAGAGCATCCGAGCTAAGCTCACAGCCACCCTCACCCTCTCCCACTCTCCCCGTCGAGGGGCCACGGATGCACACTGCCCCCTGAGGCCCTCCAAGTTCGGGGCGGGAAGCCGGGGGCCGCGGTTCCTATGCCCAGACCGTGGCCTGGACTCTGCCTTCAGCAGCCCTGGCTGACCTACGTGGATGGAGGTGCTGCTTGTACGAGATGGGGGTCAGGGGCCCCAGCACCAAGTCTGGAGCAAAGATCCAGCCTTGAGACCCTCCAGGAGCCCCGACATCTCTGCAGACGGCTCGCCCAACTTCCCCCCTGCTGCACAGCTGTGAGCATCCCGAGACTTCCGGGAAGAGCCAGGCCCGTCCTACGTTCCAAACGCCTGTGGGCTCAGGGAGCTGTTGGTCACTCATGCAGTGACAAACGTCCCGTCCGCTTTCCTGACTGGGTCGGGATGAAGTTTGGCTCTGCTGCCAGACAGAAGCCCCACAGCCTGCGTGGTCAGGGGCCACTCCCCGGGCAGGTCACTGGGCCTGCGTATGGGGCCCACTCTAGTCCCTTCTTGGCTGGGAGCCGCACGGAGGGACACCTGAGCTGTGTGGGGCTGCAGCTCAGACACACGGCACGTGTACCCCGCAGGCGCCCCAACTTTGGGGGTGTGTCCCCTCTGAGATGCTCATTCTAGGGGTGGGGTGCTGGCAGAACTTGGTCTGCCATCCCCATCCGCTGCCAGCTCTGGGAAGAGCTGGGGACATCCCCGTAGGGGTAGATCAGGGTGTCTGCTGCGAGGGCCCAGAGCTGGCAAGCAGTCTCCAGCTGCTCGGGGCTTTGCCTGCTCCCCGCTGTGGTTCTGGGGACCAGCAATGCAGCATCACATGGGGGGAGGAAACGTGCAAAAGATAGCAGTGCATTTACTGCTTTCTAGGGCGGCCTTGGGCACGGCGGCCTTGACCATGATCCTAGTCCTGACCCCGAGAAATGAGCATCGCTTCGCTCTCACGGCCTGAAACCGCAAGGCTTTGTGTGCGACTGACCTGGGACTGTGGCCACTCGGTGGGGACGAGGCCCAGGGACGGGGGCAGGAGGAACCTACTGTGCACGGGCGGCTGGGCTGGGCAGGACCACGGCACGGCCTGGAGACACGTGGACAGACAGCTGCCCACGGGGCGGGTACAGCCTGGCCGGGGCTGGGGAACCCCCGGGAGGCTTGGCGTGATCGGATCAGCACTAGGGGACAGAGCTGCAGTCATGGGGAGGGGAGGGGAGTATGTGGGGGTCAGAGAAGACGCCCGCAGAGCGTGACCTTGCACTGCAGGTGAGAGCCGGGCCCGGAGCAGAGAGCACAGGTGTCTTGGAGGTGGTTTGAGGCAGGGCCTCCGGGAGTCCCCGAGGGGAGGGGAGGGAGCTGCCTCACGGTGAGGAGTCTGAGCCAGCTCTTCAGTCACCACTGGGCTGACAGTGACAGGGACATGTGCAGCCTGCTCCGTAAGCTGGGACGGTGTGCTCAGCAGGCGGGTGGATGCCCCCCGCCAGGACTGAGGGTCTCGACCAGGACCCGCTTTCCCAGCTTTGACCTCACCGCCGAGTCCAGAGGGCCCAGAGACCCGCCAGGGTTGGGCACCCCGCAGCCGCATTCCAGCACCCCCATGGGGCACTGAGTCCACCAGATGCAGGCCACTGCCCGGGCCCAGGCACCTCAGGGTGGCTCACCACCCAGCCCGACGAGGCCACACTCGGCCACGGGAGGCGCCAGGGCAGCTCAGAGCAGGCAGGGCACTGCCCAGCTGTCGGCCCTCGGCTGGCGGTGGAGGCTCGGGAAGGACTGGAGCGCGTGGGCCCCGCTGCTCTCTCCCTGCCGACGGGCAGGGGACCGGGCTGCAGGGCTGTGTCCAGCCTCGGCTGGACACTGGGCGGAGGGCAGGACCCACTGGCACTCTGTTGACCTGGCCGTGGTCAGGGCCCTACGTGTGCTCGGGGGCAGGTTAGATGGACATGACTCTGGACTGGACTGTCCACGTGAGCCTGGCCCCCGGGCCCTAACGACCCCCTTCAGGCTGCTGAGGGCAGCTGTGGGCCTGGGGGCTGGGGAGACTCGCCAGCTTTGGGGCACTGTGCCCCTGAGCACAGAAGGAAGGTGAGACCTTCCTCAGTGCAGGGCAGAGGCCGTAGAGCCGGAGACTCACGAGATGGACTGCGGGGGGCTCGGAGCCGTGAGCAGAAGTGTCCCACCAAGCGGACGGGTCTGTGGCCTGGGGCACAGCGCCCGCCGAGCCTGCGGGGATGCTGGGGGCTGGCACTGCAGGACTTCAGTCCCTGAGGCTGTTCCCAGGCCGGCCCCACCGCTCCTGTATGGGGCGGGGCCAGCAGAGTCACGCCCCCGCACGGGGCCAGCAGCTGCAGGAGCCGGTACTCTTCCGAACGAAAGGCCCGCTGGGAAGTGCATGGGACTCGCTCACGGAGAAGCCCGGCATTCACTGAGACTGCGGGGGTGGCCTACGACCTTGACTGGCTTTCAGGGAAAACGGCTAACGGCTTTGAGGCCTCAACCTACAACCTGGAGGCTGGGGAGGCCGAGGACCATGTTCCTGGGGAGACCAGGCTGGTGTGACCAGGGAGGCCCTGGTTTTCGGCTCCTGAGTCCAGCAGCTGGGGAGGCAGTGGGCAGCTGGCCCCAGCATCAGCTGGCACCGGTCTGTGTAACGACACAGGCCTGGGGACGGGAGGCCCGGCTCCCACACAGTCGGCCCACAAGCCGGCCACTCCACGACCCAGCTGCGGTCAAGGTGGCCCAGGTCAGGCCAGGACCTCCTGCTCCCACTCAGCTGGAGCCGTGCTGGTCCCCAAAGAGTGACCGGAACACACACGCTCAGGAGGGTGGCGTCCTCTGCCCCCACCGTCCAGGAGGACCCTGGGCTCAGGTTTCATGGCTGTCAGCCTACGGCAGGCGTCCCACCTCCTCGGCCACCCCGAACACGCACGTTCGGTGGCGTGTCTGCACGGAGCGCGCCCGCGTGCTGGGCCAGGAGCCGCCCTGCTCCCTGCTGACCGTCCATCAAGCTCCCGACAAGACCACCGCCGCCCTCACGGACTCTGATGGAGCCACGCCGGGCAGAACGTCCGTCACCGTTCGCTACGCCTGCTCAGGCCCCGAGGGGCTTGCCCTGTGCCCGGCTCCCGGCGCCTCTCCCGACGGGGCTGCCAGGCAGTGCTGGGTGGCTCGGCCCGCCAGCCCGCGATGCCGAGGTTGTGGGCCGTGTCGCCGGGACAGTGTTCCCGAGGGTCTGCGGCGGCCACAGCGACGAAGCAGAGCTACGCGACCTGGGCCGGGCCCTGCCCCCTGTGCGGTGCCACCAACAGCGGCAGAGATGTCCGGCGCAGACACCGCGGGCACCCTGCTCCGCCACGCCCGGTGGCCAGCCGCGTACCCCTCCTCCGCACACTCGGCTCGGCGCCAGGCCGAGCGCCCCCCAGCTGCGGGCACTTACCGTCGTCCAGGTACAGCTGGTCCAAGTCTTGAGGCTCTCGCTTGACCGATACGGGAGTGGGGGCCAGACTATGATTACTGTCCTCACGCACCTCGGGCAGCGGCAGAGGCCGGGTGGCTGCAGACGCTTTTTCCAGAACCTTCGGCAGCTGGTGCTGCAGGTGGCCCATCCCGGATGGGCGGGCTGGGCTGCAGGACTGCAAACAGGTCGGCTCTTGGGCACCGGGCAGCAGTGGAGAGGAGGGGCTGTTGGCACAGAGCGCTGGCTGGTGACCCGGGGAACAGCTGCTGCTCAGCTGTGGACTCACCTGTGGCTGCTGGGGGGAGCCTGGGTGCACGCCCATGGGTCTCGGCGCCTCCTGCCCCAAGAGGGCCCCTCCGGCTGGCCGCTGAAGTCTGAGGGGGTCGTGGCCCGGGTTGGCCATGCCCTTGCTGTAGGGGGCAGAAGAGAGGTCGTGGAGCTTCGGGCTGGCGCTGGGCGGCGGCGACATCATGGTGCTCCTCTGTGGACAGGGCGGGAAGCCGGCCACGAGGCAGGCTCCCGGGCCGGGCGGCATGGCGAGCTGCTGGCTGTAGCACGGCTTCGGGAGTGGGCTTAGGCCCTGGCTTGCTGGTCCACAGGTCAGGGCCGGCTCGTAGTCATCTGTGGGTTCTGTCTTGATGATTGGAACTGTGAGAAGGAAAGGAAGTTAGATAAACACAGGCCGCACACGGGTGCGAGGGGGCGGGCAGTGGCCAGGACACCCTCCGAAAACAAGCGGCGTCTCGACTGAGCCCCCGTGTCTCCTGCCGGGTTCTCCCACCCAATTAAAAAAGAGGGCGTGAGTCATCGGCTCCGGAGAGCTGCAGCTGGTTCTAATACTGAGAGCACTATTTTCCTTGGAAGCTCCCCCAGCACTAATGTGCTATAAAAATCCATTTGCACAAGCAGCAGAAGCCCTGGACCCGAGGGCCCGCGGATCTGTAGCAATCAAAGCGAATGTGTTAACTTGGACGCGGAACCGCGTCTTCGCTGCTACCGACGCCCTCTGATAAGCGCCTGCGCATCTGGCACTAGCGCACAGCGGCCGCGTTAGGAGTCGGTGGAAACCCAGCGGAAGGGAGGCTGGCCGTCTGTGAGAAGAGGAGCCTTCAGCCCCCAGAAATGGAAACTGCCTTCTCGGGCAGCAAAATCGCCACCTCCCTTCCCGCCCGGCGGTTTCCGGTCCTAAACGGAGAGCGTGTGGAAGCCACGGCCAGCCGCCAGGCCACGCTGGCCGCCGAGGGCGGGCTCCGAGCTGCTCCCAGACCGTCCCCTGCCCACCCCGCAGGGAGCTGACGGTGCGGACGGAGCAGCGGGAGCGGGGACACCGGACGCCTCCGAGCTGCTCCCAGACCGTCCCCTGCCCACCCCCGCAGGGAGCTGATGGTGCGGACGGAGCAGCGGGAGCGGGGACGCCGGACGCGAGGCGGGTGGGGAGCTCTCCCCAGGCCCGGCCGGACCGGGTGCCTTGGTTCCCACGGGGAGCAGGGGGAGGTCGGGTGGGCGTCCTGTGTGGGGGTTCCGCCGGGTGCCGCCCCCGCCCTCTCTTCCTGTGGGTCCACGTTGTCGTGGGTTTCATGCTTCCTACACCCGTTTACAAAGACACACCTCGACGGCCATTGTTCTGAGTGACTAAAATTCACAGCAGATGCGGTGCTGCTTCAAACGAATGAGCTGTCACCAAACCGTCCGAATCACATTTTCGCCTCCTTCTGTGTGCTGGCAGGCGGCTGCCGGCGGGGCAGTCCTGGCGAGGGAAGGCCCCTCAGTCACAGCCTTCGCCGAGTGCGGCCCAGCGCAGACGTGCCGGCCACGACCCGCCCGGCCCCTCCCCGGGTCAGTAAAAGCATGTCTGCGTTTTGCGAGGAGGTGTTTGAGGACAGTCTTAGCAGCAGGCTGCTCGTCTGCTCCCCACGGGGCGGCGTCCATGGGCCCCAGTGCCAGAGAATGCACGCTCTCCCTGACGCAGGCGCCACGTGGGCAGCTGCGTGTCCCTCGTTCTGCCTGGCCGTGCCCTGGGACGAGCGTCCTGCGTGCTGGCCCAGGCTTGTCTCTCGCCCGAAGGCGGCACTCAGACCAAATGGCGAAGACCGCTCCGGGCACGAAGGCCGGCTCGGGTCCTCCGCGGCCTGAGCTTTCAGCTCTGGGGATGCTGATGGAACTGTCCCCTGCTCTGCTCGTTCAGCTTACCAGCCTCTCCCAGCCCCACTCCCCTTCTCATCCCACCCTTAAGGGGTCCTCCTTGTGCTCTGAGTAGGGGCGCACGGTTTCAGGTGCTGACCCCGGGAGGCAGGGCGAAAACGCAGGGCCACAGTGATTCGAGGGTCCCCCTGCACCCCCCGCTCCCTGCAGACAGAACCACGGCCCACGACATCACCTTTGGCTGAGAGTAAGGAGGACATGTGGCCTCCGCCCAGGACCCCAGTGTCCCCAGCATCCTGGGACGGGACGAGCCCAGCACGTGCTGAGAGGGGTGGGCGAGCCCGACGGAGAGCAGCAGCACGGAGGCCCCTCACACTGGCGCCCCCAGGGTGCAGGGCAGGGCGCTGTCCTATCAGCCGCGCCAAGTCTCCACAGAGCCCGGCTCACTGCCCCCAGCGGCCGGGCGCCCGCCTGATCCTGTGGCCATCGCCCTGCACGTTGCTGGGGAAAGACTCTCCGTTTCAGCAGAGTGTGGTGGGTCGGGGCTCAAGTCCCTGTGAGGTCGCGGGCTAGAGAATGCCGCCATTGGCTGCGGAGGAACACGAGCTGGCCGTCCTCAGGGTTGGATGTTTGGCTGCGTGTCACTCAAGTCGCCATCCAGGCCAGCAGCTGGGAGCCTCTGGGAGGGGCACACGGCTCCAGAGGGTGTGAGCGTGTGGAAAAGCCGTCTCCCCCAATGAGGTGAAGATTCCCTATGTGAAACCCCCTTGTCACGGCAGCCTCAGGCCCTGGGGACAGCACTTGGGCAGCCTGGGCGCCCAGAGCTGCCAGAAGTCCCAGCGAGGCCCGCCCGAGGCTCCGTGTGTGGGCTGCGCCCGAGAGCGTAAGCAGAGCACCGGGGGCTTGGCCGGGTCACCTGCGAAAGCCCGCCCCCCGGGTCCTTCCATCACCTTCGCAATCAGCACACCAGAGATGGGGTCCTGCCGGCGAGCACCCCCGCCCCAGCCCCCGTGGCCTCGGTGCCGGCCAGCAGCCCCCGGGACAGCCCTGCGGCCGGCTCTGGGGGCAGGGTGCAGGTTCCAGGCACGGCCCCATCTGGAATCACCCCACCTGTCCCCAGCATGCTGTAAACCCAGAAAGGGCAGAAGGCCACAGTCAGCCCCAGAGATCCCGGACCTGAGGGCTGGGGCACGGCCGTCACTGAAAACGGCGCCAACGGGTACACACGACACGGACGGGGTAGAACCACAGTCTCCCGGGCGGCAGAAGTGTGGGCGCGACGCCGAGAGCGTTCGGGGCTCTGGAGTCGCTGTTGGCGCGAGTTTAACTGAGGCCCTGGGGGACTCGCTCCGGGGCGCGGCACCCTCAGCAGGCACAGGCCAACTCGTCACTTCCACGACACGTCCCCTGAGCTCCTTAAACATGCTGACCCTGTCTGCTCCAGTGACATTTAAGGTACAGCCCAAAGGAGCTTCCCGAGAAAGGCCAGTAGTGCCCCGACCTGCCGAGCGCCCCGCCGGGGACGACTCCTGGAGGCCGGCCAGCGGCCCACGGGATAGCTTCGAAGGGCAGGAGCGAGCTGTCGTCTGTCTGCTCAGCCTCATCGTGTCTGTCACTGACACCTGGTGTGAAGATACTGCGTGTGGCCTTGACCCCCACACGGGTCTGTCTGCACGGCCCCCCCTGAGCCGGGGACACAGGAAACGTGACACCTGCCAACGGCACCAGGACCCACCCTCTCATCACAGGGGCGTAGACGTAGGCTTGAAGCCACCAGGCTGGGCCCAGCCCTGCCCGGCCTTCCCAGGACTTCCCGGTGGCCGGACAGGTGAGCCAGCTGCTGGCCTCTCCCGTCAGACATCCCTTCCTGTGTCCCTGTGTCTGCAGCTGCTGCCGCTCCACTCCCATGACAGGCCTGATCCTCGCCGGCAATGTGCTCCCACCTCTGACCACGTGGCCGGGGTCAGAAGGTTCCAACACGAGGCCATCGCGACAACGCCCTTTGGGAATAAACTCGCATGCACTTACCTGAGGGAATCCCCACCTGCCTGCTCTAGGGGCTCTACACAACCCTGAGGACTGAGGGCCACTGAGAAGTGGCCAGGACAGAGCCCCCTAATGATTCAGTGCCAGGTGCAGAGAGCCCCAGAATAAACCGCGCTGGCTCAGGGACAGACAGGTCCCCCGCTCATCCGGCCCAGGGGATGCGGGACAACTTGGGCAACACGAACATGCCACTGCCGAGACTGGAGCCGCACCGCACCGGCCTGCGGCACCACGACGCTGACGGGCGTGGACACGCGGCGACCACACCCGCGTCTCAATGCGCATCTCACGCGGGTTTCAAAGGAAATGACAGCCCCCCCCTCCTGTAAACCAGGGCCGCGGGGTGAGGCCCCTCCTGCTCCCCACCGTTAGGGAGGACGGGCCCCTCGGTGCAGAGGCCTTGGGCGGCGGGGCGCCCTGTCCCCTCGCCCAGAGCAGTCTCCTCCCAGGCCTGACACTGGCTGTGACGGAACGTCTGGTCCATCTCTGCATCCACCGCGCTGGTTTGGGCCGGAGGGGTGGTCACAGAAGACCATGCCGCGGCTGGCTGAGGTCGCCCTGTCAGCCGGTGGCGCATTTACAGCCTGCGTTTGTTACAGACGGCCACCGCATGAAGGTGGTGCTGACCTTTCAGGCCTGCTGTGGCTTCAGGCACGCTGTCAGGGAAGGGGGCTGCAAGCCAGCAGTGCAGGTCGCCACCCCAAGCGGCTCAGGCTCTGCACGGAGATAGCGGGCGAGGTCCGATGGCGAAGCCACCACTCCAGCTCCGCGTCCTCGGTCAAGGGCGCTGAAGCTCACTGTGTCTGCCGCCAGCATCTCACTGAGAGTCTGAGTCTCTGCCCCAGGAGTGGTGACATCAGGGCCTCGAGCCCTGGGGAGGGTCCGTCCCAGCACGGGGACTCACGTGTCCAGGAGCCAGGCCACAGCATCTTCCCACAACGTGCAGACCAAAGGAGCAGGCCAGGTCCCCGCCCTCCGCACCCCTGCCCCACCTGCAGCCTCTGCAACGGAAGTCTGTGGGCCAAAGAACATTCCAGAACATTCCTGGCCTCGCCTGGAGAAACCCCAAGTGTGGCAAACGGGCTCCACAGGGCAATGGCAGGTGGGAGGCGCCTTCCGATGGGGCAGCCCCGGGAGCAGAGCAGACGCCTCTCTGCTTCCCGCCGACTCCCCCGCCTGCCTCTGGTCAGTGCCTCGTGCACACGAGCTCCAGGCCCCAGTTCCCATGGCGTGCAGCCTGGGGCCCTGCCACAGTGTCCCACGGTGGTCAGAGGTCCGTGTGAGCCTGCTCTTGTTGGGGCTCGGCCACCCGTCCCATCCCATCCACATGCCGTGCTGCAAGCTTTCGGACACATCCTTTGAAACCAAGCAGCACACACCTGGACAGGCCTCAGGCCGCCCTGATGTCCCGGCCTGCCGATGACCAGCTGATTTCCACCCTGACTTCACCCAGGGACTCG